TTGGATCAAGACGACGTGGTCTGTCCACACCACGGAATTCATGAATGAATTTTATTTTTTAAATAATAAAATATTTATTTATTTATGCATAAAAGAGCTGGGGTGTGGACCAGAGGTGCAGGGGGCGAGAGGATTCACCAGAGACAGAGCGGGGAGCAGAACAGGCAGACTGACTGAAACACACTGCAGAGAGGAGCAGTGGGGAGACAGGAGAGGTCTGCTGCGCCGTGTGAGAGGTCAGCTCCCTGGCTGGGGATCGAACTCGTGCTGCAGAGGCTGCCGATAGCTTCATAGTGGGAAATGGGAAGAGGGATGAAGCAGCCTCCGCCCTCCCAGAGTCAGCAGCGAAGCTGCTTTCCAGCCCCTGGGCAGAGAGTGGGGGAGGGGAGGCTGTTACCCCGGGAGCCCAGGCCCGGGGTGTGCGTAGGTAGACATCGGATCCTGACTGTGTCTGTGGGTGGACAAGGCGCCTCTAGCATAAGCTGGGCCGGAAGTTCACGCTGAGAAGCCAGCAGAGCTCAAGGCCCCCTGAGATGCAGCATTTTGGTCCATTCAGCATCACTTGGGGTGGCGAGGGGAGGGGCTGGCAGTGCCCTACAACCACAGGACGGAGGTTTCAGAAATGGTCTTAGCTCTGTTTGATGCAGCCATTAAAAAGTAGGCTCTTAGGAAATATTTAAAGCTGTGGGAAGGCTCTGCTGGTAAGCAGGCAGGTTATTAAGCTGTACCCCTCCTCCTGACACCCCCCCCCCACAGTTGGGTGTTAACCATCCTTATCCTTGGACAGGGGACTCGGGTCGACACGGTTTCCTTCTTTCACTTTTCTGTATTGTTCAGATTTTTAAGGGAAAATGCACTACACTTAGAATTAGGGAAACAGAAGTATTTCTTTAAAACACTTGTCAGTTGCAATTTAATTTGTGGATTCTGGAGACCCTGCAGAAAACTCAGGATGTCGGCTGTAGGGTAAGTAAAGTATCAGGCTTGTCTGCCCTCCCGCCATCAGGATAGATGATGGATCCTTGTCCTGAATGCAGGCCTGATGGCGGGCACCTGGAGTGGGGTGTGGGCATGCGTGAGTGGGTACACCTGGGCTGAGAGACCGGGCTTGTAAGGGCAGCGTCACGGGGACACCGGCAGAATGAACGGAGAGAGCAGAGCCACGAGAGGAGGCCGGAGAGCCCAGAAAGAGTGAACACTTGCTGGGGGGCTGGGAGGGCTGCCAGCCTCCCGGCCCCCCCGGCACCCCTGCCTGCCGTGTGCCTGGTAAATCCTGATAAAAGCCACTGAGAGCTCCAGGACTCTCTCCTCCTTTACTCTGTCTGCTCGGGTCAGAAAACCTGCCCTGTGCCCATTCCTGCAGTAACATCAGCCCCCTGCAAGCGCCCTCTCCGGAGTTGGAAGCCTCTGAATGTGGGACCCTCCTCGACGGCAGACTTCTGCTCCCGAAGGCGCGCTGGTAGTTCTGTTGAAAACTGCAAGTTTAAAAATACCTGTATCAGGTGGACCTGTCCCATCTGCCCCTCTGGAGTCTGAGGTCCCTGAGCCACCCTTGCGCCCCCCCCTCCCCCCACCTTTCCTGTCTAGGGCCGGGCAGCCAGGGTGCTAAATTAGGAACCACTGTGGGGAGCTGCAGTCACGTGGCTGGCTGTGAACTCGCTGCAGGGAGGCCTCCCCCCTCCCCACGCCTCTGCTGCTTGCCAGCTCCAGCTGGGGACCCATGGCAAGTTTCCTCCCAAGACAGCCAGGCCCCCAGGGCAACCGAGAGCTGGTGAAGGCAGGTCTCCTGCGGCCTGCATTTCCTCCGTGGAACCCCAACAGCCCCAGTAGAATTTGGGGGTTGCAGGGTCTGCAAAGAGAGCAGCATTCTGGAGACCCCTCCACCCAGTAGATGTTAGTAGCACCCTCTTTCAAGCTGAGACAACCAAAAATTTATGGGTATCAGCAAAGGCAGCAGCTGGGACAGGAGCTCTCTCCTGGGCAGATCCTCCAGGTTTCCGCCACACCACAGTGGCCACGGGCATCCGTAGACCTGGCTCTCAGAGCACTGCCTCCAAGGGCTGTTCTAGAACCATTCATCTTGGGAAACAACTTGAGTGTCGTTAGTCCTCTGATGTGTCTGAAACTCAGGAAGCCCCAGGGCATAGAGGAATGCTTCCTCAGGTGTTCGAGTTTAATTCCTCCTCCTGCAGCCTTGGGAGGGAACTGACACCTCCTTGGTGGAGACTTTTCCTTCCTCATTTGACCCGGGAGGGAACTGGGTCACTGGCGCTGGGGTCGGTCGAGTGGAGGATTTGATCTCAGACACGCAGGCTCCCAGCCACCGCCCTGCAGCTGCTGGGGTGTGCGCGGAGGAGGCTGCCTCTGTGTGGAGTGGGGCCAGGCCTCCGGGTCGTTCTCCCTCTGCCCGTGTGGCTCATTCCTTCGGCACTTTGTTGCCAGACCCAGGGACGAAAGCACCCCCAAGCCCATCCGGGGCAGGAACAGAATGGCTAGCTTCTGTTTCCAAAACCGCTGGCTCAAAGGGAAGAGGGGAAAAGGCAGAAATCTAAATCAGTGGCAGGGAAAGGAGCCACTGAGAAGACGTAGATCAGTTTTCTTAATATGGCCTTAGCCCAGGCCCAGGTGCCAAGCTCCCTGTGTGGTCTCACGCCCGCCCCTCCCAAACCTTTCTGTGCCTGAGTGTCCGTCAGTGGAAGAGCAGGCTGTGCATGGTGTCTCAGCGTTGGCATTGTTGACATTTTGTTCCAGATCATTCGGGGCCGGGGTGGGGGGGTTGCCGTTGCATTCCCTTTCCAAGCTGTGACAACCAAAAATGGCTGCAGAAATTGGCAAATGTCCCCCGGGGAGCAGGGTGTCCCCCATTATAGAATCACTGGGCTGCTATTATCTCCCTTTCATGAGTGTTATGGAAATCCTCAAAAAAATTTCCTTCCTTCTAGTCCTCTCCCCGCCCCCAACTTGTTCCTTCTGGACTTAATTCTTTTGTGATGAGCAGAGCAAAAGAGATGACCCCTCGGCCTGCGCCTCCCATGGTGGTGATGTGTGTGACTCTCTGGGCTGGACCTGCACACACACAAGATTCTCCTCCAACCTGGGAGGCATGTGGAGGGACCCACTTCGCAGCTGGGGTGTCTGGAGGGAGCAGGGAAGCGCAGACAGCGCAGTGGAGCTGAAGGAGGGTTCAGGCCTCGCGGAGCCTGATGCGATGCCAGACAAGGAAGGAAAACGGTTTGGGGAAGGCTCCAACCTCAGCTCCCCGGTCTACGTTTTTGTTGCCTTCCTCTTCCCTTTCGGTAACCGTGTCCTTTGGTCCCCCCATCTTTTGGGACTGGCTTCACCTGGAACCGAGAGGCAGCACATCCTGGAGCCTCCTTCAAGAGGGCTTCAGTCCCACAAAGGCCCTTCCCAGCCTGTCCCCAGCAAAGGGCATTGAGCTTGGAGACCAAGGTCCAGGCTGTCCCCCCTTCGTTGGGGCCAGGTTAGGAATGGCCTTGGTGGGACTAAAGTTCTTTTGCGGGAGGCTCAAGGTTTGCTCCCTCTCAGTTCCAGGTGAAGCTGGTGGCTCTCAGGAAAAAACTCAGAATCTTGAGGTTTAAGAGTGGATGGGGAGCGTGTCGTCGGAAGCGAGGGCCTCCGGGCTGCAGCTCGGCTTGACGAGGGAAGGGCTTGAACTATCCCCTCCTCGTGCCTCCCAGAAGGGAGGGCTGATGTGCAGCCAGTGCCCACTCCCCAGGGGGGAACCTGACGGCCCCAGCGGGTGCCGCCTGTGACCAGCATCACCCTGTCCAGAGGGGGCCCCTAGTCCCGCCCTCTGCCCCTCACCCCTTCCTCCCAGTGCCTGGGGATGGTGGTGGCCAGCCGCCCTGGCTGGGGGTGGGCAGTCGTGTCCCTTTGGCCTCTGGTCAGAGCCACGGTCTCCCCCTCTCGCACTCCTCTCTGCATTCATTCAGTTCTGGAAGGGGAAAGGGCTGGAGAACTCAGTTCTTGGGCCCCTGCCAGGTGGTTTGGGGCCTTTGGGGCTGTGGCTCTGTTTGCTGGTCCCCACCCTGCAGCTTCTGAGGCCTTGCTCGGCTGCCTGGATGCCCACGTCACGCTGGGGGTCGCCCACCCACCTCCTGGCTCGTCTGTGAAAAGGCACCTCCCAGCAGCCGACAGCCAGCCAAGCTGGGGTGCTGGGGAGCTGGCCAGTGACTCGGGTTAAAGCCGGACAAACCAGCCTTGACCAGCACAGAGCCTTCCCTCCCTCCCCTGCTGGAGGGTCCCAGCCTCCCCCAGACCAGGGACACTGTTTACCTTAAGTGTCCACAAAGACTTGAGGGGTGCTCTACTCCTCCCCCCACACCAAAAAGAGAACGTTTTAAAAATGTTTTTACTTAATTAAAAAAAGAGACAGAACTAACAACCCAAAACCAGTAGTAGATACAGAATTCACAGGTGCTTAACTGGCGAGACACACAGGGGCTGGCGGGAGAGGGTGGGGGCTAGGAGGAGGGCAAGAAGGTGGGTACAGGCCACAACATCCCCCCCTTGGGCACAAGGTCTGACAGGTAGAGGGAGGCAGCTCTGCTCCCTTCCCAAGGCAGGTGGGCCCCGCCCCCAGCTGTGATGTGGCGAGGGGGGGGGGTGTGACCCAGGGACGAGGGTCCCCAGGGGAGACGGCCGGGGGTTGGGGGGGTCTGAGGTTCTGCTCCCTGCTCTTCCGTTCTCTTGTCACTTCTTTCTACTTGTTCCTGGTCCCTAGAGTGGCCCCGTGCTCTGCCTGGGGCTGGGCAGGAGGTAGGATTCAGGGGAACTCAGCCTTCTCCATGAGTGCTGGAAACTTCTGGGGCAGCGGGTAGGGAGGTGGTTTGTGTGGGAGAGACAGCAGGCCTGCCTCGCTTCTGGAAGTAACAAGAGAGTCTCAGGGCCTTGCTGGGTCCACAGACCTCCTTTAACCAGGCAAGGTGGTGTCATGGTGGGGGTGGTGAGGGTGGTCGGGGTGGGGGGCAGGAGGGACGGGGTGGGCCCACAGCAGGCAGGCCACGAGCCCTGACACTTCAGCATTCACTGCTGCACATGCTGGGACAAACCACCACACAGAGCCCACCTCCCGGAGGACGGGGCATCGAGCAAGCACAGAGGCCCCCGCACGCCGCCCACGGCAGCTCGCTGGTCCACGGGGCCGTCAGTCGGAGGCGGAACAGGTGGACACCCCGCTCCCAGAGGAGGAGGGTGGCGATGCCTACAACCTGGATCTGAGCTCCTGGGGCTCGAGTCCGCCCTGGGCCTCAGTGAACAGGTGGCTGAGGTAAGAACTGGCCGGTCACTTCCAAGGTCAACAGCTACCGGGGTCACAGACGATTGGTTGTTCAAGATTGGATTACGAAGTCTCAAAAAGTAAGAAATGATTTCTCTTTAGAAAGCATGTGTTTTATATAAAAGAGGGGATGCTCCATCTTCAGAACCTGGACCGGCTTCCGCGTCCTCTGCTTGCTTTGGGGAGGGGCTGGAAATCGTTGGGAAAATGTCAGACCCGGAACCCACCTCCTTGGTTCCAAGAGCTGAGACTTCGCTCTCATCAGGAGGAAGAAAAAAGCTCAGCTCGGCTCTTTATCCAAACTTCCTCCGCTGAGCCCTTTCAGGTGGTGGCAGAATAAATTACAATAATAGGAGTCGGGGGAGGGTGGCTGCTACTTTTTAAGACGAGGAAATGAATGTCACTTGCTCTCCTGGCATCTATTTGCAATAAATCGTGATTAATAACCACCAAGGAAATGGGTGTTTGTTCTGTGTTTTTTTGGTCCTGTTCACTCTGGGGGCTCCCTATCTTGCACAGAAGTGTAGGCTCCTGTGGCCACAGGGGTGGGTCTGCCCCCTCCCTCCGGAGGGACAGAGGGCGCTGCTCCCCAGGTCAGTGGGAGGGACACAGTAAGAGGGGCCCTGTAGCCACCTCTCCTCTGACCCGTGGAATGTTCTGGACTCTCAAGCACAGTCAGTGTGTCCTGCCCTCTCTGTGTGAGGCAGAAACTTCCAGAAGCAAACAGGAAAGCCAGCAACAGACTCTGGCCTTTACCTCACGCCTGGGTCTGGGGGGGGGGGGGCCTCCTCCTCTGCAATTTCTCCACAGGCCTCAGTTTCCTCAGGTCCAGGGAGGTCAGCCCCAGGACAGCACAAAAACCAAAGCACCAGTTGGCCGCAGGGCTTTCTAGGTTATTTCCACAGCAGGCCACTACCAGAGAGAGAGACAGAGAGGCAGGGCGCCAACTTCGTTCCTCGCTGCTGGCTCACAGACACAGGAACCTCAGGTTAAAAAGCAGCTGACCAGTGTCCAAAGGCCCCCGTGTGACCGGGAGAGCCCTCCCGGTGGCTCAGCGCTGGCAGGGAGGGGAGGCCCTGAGCGCCCGCACTTCTGGCAAGGTTTGTTTCTGAGAGGAGATAATGGCTCTATTTTGTTTTCCCGGGCCTGCAAGGCCGTGCAGCCTCAGGAAAGCTTTTGGCCTCCTGGGAGATTTGGGAACCCAGGGGCTTGAAAACACCCTGTCAGGGGGCTAAAGTCAGCCTTCCACGTTGCTCCAAAGCAGCCCGGGACATTATGGAGCCCAGGGAGGGTTGGGTTTGGCCTCAGTCCCACTGTTGGTCCGTCTGAGGGATCGGATGCCCTGGCGTGGGATCCGGACAGGCGTTCCGGGGAGAGGCCGGCGCTGAGAGGAGGGGGCGGCTCACACGGGGGTCGTCCGCCGGTTCAGCATGCTGAGGTGCAGGCCTTCCTTCAGGTCCTGCTGGAAGAAGTCGTGCACCTGCAGGAAGCTGGCCTCCTGGTCGGGGCTGTAGCTGGCGGCGGTGGTCACCTTGAGGGGCTCCCTGGACAGCGTGTACATGGACAGCTCGCCCATGGGGATGGCCCCGGTGATCTTCAGGCCCACGGGGGACGTGTCCCTGGAGGGCGAGGCCTCGGTGGACCGGGAGCTGGAGCGCGAGCGCCGTCGCCGGTACCTGTAGCTGGGCATCCTGGCGTAGGGGGAAGACGAGGGCGCCTTGAGGAACTCCCGTTTGGTCTTAAACCTCAACTCTTTGTTTTTCTCAATGTAAATGTTCACGGCCAGGACGCCCACTGTCTCGGCCACTATGAAAGACAGGGCTCCGAAGTAAAAAGACCAGCCGTAGTTGTAGTGGTTCTTCTTGTCCTCGTCCCGCTTGTCACTGGGGTCCCCCGTGTTGCTGGAGATGTAAACGATGATGCCGATGATGTTGCTGAGGCCTGGGGGGAGCGGGAGAGACGCAGAGGTAAGACGCGCAGCAGGCAGCCCGGGATGGCCCAGGCCACCCCCGCTGTGGGGCTTCATTTATCCTGATGGCTGGTTTTTATTTTCAGTTATTAATTTTGGGTGGGTCATCAAAATGTCAAGTTCAAAAAAGGCATGTAGGGCCTCCCCAGTGGCGCAGCGGGTTGAGCACCACGCTGTGAAGCTGTCTGCAGCCTCTGCAACGCGGGTTCGATTCCCGGCCGGCCAGGGAGAAACCCACACGGCGCGGCAGACCCCTCCTGCCTCGCCTGCTGCTCCCCTCAGCAGTGTCTTAGGTCCGTCTGCCTGTTCTGTTTCCCGCACTCTCTCTGGTGAATTCTCTCACCCCCCAACACCTCTGATTGTACCCCAGTTCTTTTATAAAAAAATAAATCAAAAGGCATGTAATGAAACAGTCACTCTCCTGAAGGCGGCTTTCAATGCCTTCATTCTTATATCCTCCCAGTCTCTCTCTTATTTATTTATTATTGTTTTTTAATTTTTGAGTAGAAGAACTGGGGTGCAGGCCAGAGGTGCGGGGGTTAAGAGGACTCACCAGAGACAGAGTGGGAAGCAGAACAGGCGGATCTACTGAAATACACTGCTGAGGGGAGCAGCGGGGAGACAGGAGAGGTCTGCTGTGCCATGTGGGTAGCTCCCTGGCCGGGGATTGAACTCAGGCCGCATCGGTGATAGCACTGAGATTTAACCCTGAGGCCACCAGGGAGGCCCTCTCTCTTTTTAAAAAAATTCATTTAATTTTTACTTATTTTGAGTAATATCTGGACACCCCCGTCAGGTATCGTGGCCATAGTGCCTCTCTCACACACCCACACACGCACACAGGGTGTCCAGCTTTTCCTTGCACAGTGCTCGTGGGCCTCTCCCCTTCCCACATGACAGTGCAGCAGACACGGCTCCACACCAGGCCGCCAAGGGCTGTGCCTGTCTCTCTTGGTTCGCGGCTCAGGGCACCCCCTTCCCGCCACGGCCACAAGCCCCTCTATCCAGGCTTTGCAGCACAACATGCAGGGGCTCCCAGAGCTGCTGCCACGGTGTCCTGCATGCACGTGGGCACAACCATGGGATGCAACCCTTAAAGGGAACTGCTGCCTCATCAGGTACATGCATCAGAAAGTTAAATTTTGGAATCATTTTAGATTTACCAAAAAGTCACAAAAATAGTAGAGAGAATTCCCATGTGCTCACCTGGCTCCCCTTCAAGTGGCCCGACTGGGAGCAGGGTGTTACTCTTAACTCTTAACATCCCACACCAGGATGTTACTCTTAACTATACCCCAGCCCGTCTTTGGCTTCACTGGGGTCTCCCCTAAATCCTTTTTCCACGCAGGATCCAGCCAGGGCATCACACTGCATTTAGTGCTTTAAATTTGGAGTCCCCGGTGGCCCAGGGGTTAAGCACAGGACTTTGAAGCAATCCGCAGCCTCTGCAGCCTGAGTTTGATCCCTGGCCAAGGAGCTACCCACATGGCACAGCAGACCTCTCCTGACACCTTGCTGCTCCCCTCAGCATTGTATTTCAGTGGATTCACCTGTTCTGTTTCCTACTCTGTCTCTGGTGAGTCCTCCCCCTCCCACACCTCTGGCCTGGACCCCAGTTCTTGTATGCATAAATAAATAAATCTTAAAAAATATAAGTTTGGAGTCCCATCCAGGCGCCCTGGGTCCCTGGAGGCGCAGGATGTCCCCGTGCTGCCGTGGCTAGTGTAACCACTTTTCTGGTCCTTGCCAGTTCACAGGTGGAGACATAGTCCCTGTGGGGTTTGTTTGTTCTCTCTTCTCGTAAGTGAATGAGCAGAGCCAAACTGCCTGGGTTGGAACTACCAACTCTCAGCTGTGGAATTTGGGGCGAATTGCTCCCTGTGCCTCTGTACCCTCAGGTAGGTACACTCCAAACAGGGCAGGTGGAGGATTAAGCGAGCTAATGTGTACAAAGACCTTCACGGTGCTGGGGCGCAGAGTGTGCTCCAGTTCTGCGACCTGCGCTGAGTCACTGTGCTGTGTCCTGCTGTCTGCACACAGGTGCTGTCCATCCTCCTACTGCAGCGCGGTTGGGTGGGAAGACTTTCTGCTATCATGGAAACCAGAGGCTCTGCCCCCAGCAAACCCGTTCTGGGTTTTGGCTCCATGTCCCTTCTGCGGTGTTCCAGAAGATTCCTCACCAACACAGCTTTTCCCTCTGACAGTCTGGTTCCTTTCTGCCTCCTTATCTCTCTTGTTCCCACTCTCCTGCCTCCCTGGCTGTGTCCTCCTTCCTCATCCCGTATTCAGCACAGCGCTCCGCAAACCACCTCCCCGTGAATTATATTTTCCCTGAGAAGTCGCGGCTCCTACTTCTGACTCCCCAGCCCCCCACCGTGCCCGTCTGGGCTGATCATTTCCCACCTAGACGTCTTCATGGGTCCGTCTCACTTCCGCTGGGGCTGCAGCTCCTGGACCCAGGCCTCCCTGTGAGTTGTGAGCTGGCCCTGCCACCTCGTAGGCCTCTAAGGTCCACGGGCCGGGAAGTAAATGGGAACAAGGGGACGTCCTCGCTGGTCCTTGCTGCCCCGCCCTCTTCCTGGCTGGACCCATTTTCCCTGGCTGAGCATCTCCTGGCCCAGGCTCCACAGCCCTGGGGGGGACCTGGAGCATCGGGATCTGCCTTTGAAGCAGTTCCTCCTGGGGGAATGGGCAGCTGCAGGGGTGCCCAGCTTTGCGGGCTGACAGCCCTGGTGCAAGCCCTGTCTTCGCCCCCTTGTGCCCTCAGGGGAGTCAGTGGATTTGTGCTTCTTCATCAGGAGACCCTCAACACAGGTGTCTCCCACCACACGCGCACACACGTGCGTGCACACTCACACACACACAGGCACAGACTTCTGACACATATTTACCCCCCTCAGATACCCGAGCACACACGCCGCCCCACGTTTACTGCCTTGGAGGAAAGCAACAGCAAATACTGAGCCGGTGTGGAAAAAGAGCGCAAGAACTGGAAGCAGGAGGGCCCCGCGCCAAGAATCTGGCTGGGAGATTTGGAGCCAGTCACTAATTGCCTTGGCCCTCAGCCCCGGGCTGTAAACAGAAGTTGTCTCCCCTCGCCAAGAGGCGGCGTGAGGAGGAGACCGGGTGGGACTGAGGAAGGCCGAAGGGTGGCGGCCCCTCCCCACCCAGCTAAGGAGGCAGGACCGCCACGGCCGGGCCCTGGGGGCCCCAGGGTCCGCCACCCGCACCAGGGACAGTCTGGGATTCTGAGGCCCAACCCAGTGCGGAGGGGCCAGGCCCAGCAGGGGCTCAGCCGCCTCCCCCAGCGGCTCCCCCTCCCACTCAGGTGGGAGAAAGAGGCTTTGAGAGCGAAGCGCTGTTTCAGAGCAGAGCCGGGGCGTGACCAGAACTCAGGAAAGAACTGCTGCTGTTCATGTACCGGCACAAGGCCTGAGAAGTCAGGCAGCCCCTGTTTCTCCTGACAGGGACCCCGGCTGCACCTCTATCTGAACCCCAAGGGTGCTGCTTGGAGCCATGAGGAGGCGCCGTGAGAGTCACCCACAGCCCGGGTTTCCCCTTGGGCTGGGCTCGAGGAGTGAGCGCTGCGCCCTCAGGGTCAGGACTGTGGGCAGCAGTGGACACTCACTCAGGGCCCTGTGGGTTTTTCACCCCCGCAGCCCACAGCGGGGGTGGGGGGGTGTCTGTGGTCTCTCAGCCAGGAGGGTTGGGCAGAGGCCTGGGGAGCATCACCTCCTCCCCCGAGCCCCTGCTCGCTCCGCCCCGGGCACGCGGCTTCTCCGCTGCTTCTGGACTCGGCCCCCGCCCCGGGTTCTCCTGGCTGCCTCTCTTGGCTCCTGAGTCCCCTGGGCATCTCCCGGACCCCCAACTCGGCCAGGCTCCCCTGTGATAACAGCGCCGCCCCTTCATGGCACTGGCGCTCCGGGACTTCCTGTGTTTCCTAAGGAGGTGAAGTCACGGGACACAACACGAGCCTTGAATGCACAATTCAGAGGTGCCCGGGACATTCCCCACATTGCACGATCGCCACCTCCACCCAGTCCCAGGACACTCTCATCACACCCCAAGGGGACCCCCACCCGAGAAGCAGTTCTCCCCACTCCTGGCACACCTGGACTTTCGGGGCTAATCACACTGGGTGAAAGGATGGCTGCCCCCCCCCCCGGACGCAGTCGCCCCTCACCTGCAGCCACGAAGAGGATGCCGGCGCTGAGCACGATGTTGTTCTTGCGGCTGTAGAACCTCCCGGCCGCGATGCAGAGCCCGCCGAGCAGGAGCAGGATGGTGCTGAGGATGGGGAAGACGCTGGAGGCGCGGACGACGCCTGGCCGGGCAGGAGACAGAGCAAAGAGGGCATGAGGCCGGCCGCCCCCGGGCAGGGGTGTGGACACTGGCCAGGAGCCTGAAGCTCGAGGCCCTTCCCCCAGGGAAGATTCTTTTCAGACCCAGAAGACGCGGGCAGGTGGGGTGTCAGGGTGCCAGGTGCAAGTGACAGCCCAGGCTGCTGGCTGCTCTCCTGTAACTCCGAGAGACCCGGGGCCCCATCTCAGCTCTTCTTGGGTGTGGGTCCCGCTGTGCCAGCCGGGAGGGAGGAGAGGGTCCCTCTGTAGCACCAGGGAGGGCACCATACCATGAAAACCCGAGATGGCCCCCCATTTGAGGACACCTCCCAGCCCACTGGGCCCTTCCTGGACGTGGGCGGCTGGAAGACTTGCCGGGCCGGGCCGTGGGGCCGGGAGCCGCAGCTCTGAGGGTGGTTGAGGTGGTCGGCAGGTGGGGCTTGTGGGGTGACAGCCCAGCTGCTCTGTGACACGCCGGTTGTGTGGCCTGGGTCAAGCCACGTCACCTCTTTAAAACTCAGTTTCCCCAACTGTGGAGCCCACTTGCGGGTGGACCCACACCGTCCAGGGTTGGTTTTGTGGGTGTAAGGGACTGAGCACAGGCCGGCAATAGCACGCGCCTCCCAAGTGACAACCTTTCTCTCTGTTGTCATTATCATCTCCAGGTGACAGATGAGGACTCGGACCTCAGGACCTCCCGAGGGCACAGAAGAGGAGGGATGGGCTGGGTGGGAAGGGCACATAGGGCCGTCGTGGGAACAGAGTTAGGTTTGCACCCCTGCTCTGCCGCAGACCGCTGTGACGGCCAGGGCAGCTGACTCCTGACCCCCCTAGTCCATTTATAACCTGGGGCTAGTACTAACACCTACCTGGAGGGGATCAACTGTGGCCCCCACAAATTATGTCCTAACTGCTGGCACCTGTCAAGGTGATCTTATTTGGGGGAAAAGTCTTTGCAGATGTGACGAGGTTAAGGATCTCCAGATGACACCACCCTAGGCCAGGGTGGGCCCTAAACCCAATGGCAAGTGTCCTTATAAGGAAAGGAAAGGTGCAGGCAGAGAGGAGACCCGCAGGGGTGAGCCTGGTGGGGACTGGCTACAGCCGGGCAGGCCCCAGTCAGGGTGGGTGGAGCCGTCAGCAGCTGGAAGAGGCAGGAAAGTTCCCCGTGCCTTCAAGGGAGCAAGGCCTGCCAACGCCTGCTGCGAGACTTCTGGGGCCAGGCTGAGATGCATTTCTGTTGCTTAAAGCCACCAAGTCCACAGCGATCTGTTTTGGTGGAAACCCAATCATCCCCCAGGAGGGTGGTTGCAAGAACGGGATGGAAGGAGGCACATGAAGCATTTAGTGGGGGCTCAGGGGAGGCGGGTCCCGCTGTTTTAGTGCGGGAGAAAGGGAAGGGGACATAAGGTGGGGGCGCCTGTGGCCTCCTGGCCCAGTGGAAACCCTACCCTTGCTGGCCCCGGCAGGGCACAGTGGGGCGGGGAAGTCTGGCAGGAGCCAACCTTCTGGGCCAGCTGAGCGGGCCTGGGCCCCCAGCCTCTGAAGGCAGCGTTTGTCTCCTGTTTTGTAAGCCCCCCAGTGTGTGCCCGGCTCCACAGAGAGGGGATTGTGTGGTGGCATTAAATGAAGCTCTTCTCTCCAGCTCCCCCTGCCCCCCGCCCCCCAACTTCTTGCAGTCTTGGCTCTGAGGCATTTTCCCCGTGGCTCTTGGAATGTGCCTGAGCTGTGCCGGCCAGAAAAGTGGGGATCAGCTCCTCTTTGAGGCCCTCATTCTGCAGATGGGTCAGAGGGGCCAGAGAGAAGGAAGCTTGTGCCTCACCTGAGGTTAGGCCTGGCTCCGAGCCATCTGTCCTGCCCAGGTAAGTCAGGTGAGCACCTGTCCTTTGCCAGTGAGCTCATCTGGCATGCCGGACGTGCGGCTGGGCTGCTGTGGATGGTGGGCACTTGGGCCCTCGCACAGACTGAGGGGCAAGTGGGGTCCATGTTCCTGTGGCCAAATCAAGCCCCTGTGTGGCCTGAGTGTGCCTGGAGGTCAGCTACCTAATTGGAAATACAGAGCCTGGGAAAGGGGTGTCAGGCCCAGGGCGAGGTGGACAGGAATGCCTGGGGCCAGCGCGCCTGGTGGGAGAGAGACAGGCAAAGTGTGGGGGTGGCCTCCCAGGCGGTGGTGTCATCAGAGGCTGGAGGTTGTCAGGAGGCCCTGGACAGCAACACAGTTCATCACAAGCCTGGTTTCTCTGGGAGGTTTCCGGATGCTCCCCTGGGGTGCTGGCTTTGTTTGTAATTATTGAAGGATGAGAAGCAGAGTCTTGGACCTGCTGGGGCTGGTGTCCGAGCCTGGGGGCTGACTGCCACAGTCCTCCTTCTGTGGAACCTTCTGAGACCTTCTCCGATATAGCCCCTTCTTCGGCACATCCCCTTCTCCATTAGAACATCAGCACCAGGAGGGCAGAGCTCTGGTTTGTTTACTGAGGCTTCCCCGGTGCCTAATACGGTGCCTGGCAGATAGCAGGCCCACAATGACGTTGTTAAATGGTGAATGACTTCTCAAGAGCCATCATCTCCTGCAAATGTCAGCCTCAGAGTTCTCTCTCCTCCACTTTGACATATTGGGGGGATCAATAGTTGGGATAGAGCCCAGGGAAAGGACAACTGAGAATCAGGGTGGCTTGGGAAATGTGGGCCAGAGGGTCATGGTGACCATGACCTTTGCCCTGGGAGACTGGAGCATGGAATCCTCGGGCTATGGGAGCGCAGGTGATCAGCTCTTCCTCTGGCTTCCTTCCTGTGGGCTATGGATGCAGCTGCGTCCTTTCACAAAGCTGAAGCACCGACCAGGTGGCCCTGCCTCAGGGGTCTCCTTCTCCAGGTTTCCATTCCTGACTCCCTCCCCTGTCAGGCCCAGGAGTGTAAGGGCTCCCGCTGTTGCTAGTGTCTGCGTGCTCACTGTCCTTGCAATGTTCCCTCCCCTGATTACCTTGTAAACAGTCCTTTACAAAATACCCTTCATTTGACCCTAGGGGGCATTTCTGCTAGGCCCCCAGGAAGCCACATCAGCTGACCTCAGAGCTGAGGCAAGAGAGGTCCACCCAGAAAGACACTGCAGAGTTCTGGAGACCATGAGGGGGTCAGGGCCGAGGAGTGAACAGGAACAGCCAGGGCTAGTGCCATCCAGCTGGGCTGAGCACCAGGGTGGCCATGGATGGCTGTGCAGGCCCTGTGCTGAAAAACTCCAAGGCTGTCGTTCTCACCCCAGTCTATGTAAGTGGCACCCCTCAAGATGAGCAGTGTGCAACCTGAATAACCGTCTGTTGCCATCCTAGGGAATATTATCTGTTCGCTTGAGTCTGGTTCCCAGAAGCAGAAAGGACAGGCAGGAGGCAGAGGTGTGGGGTGAGGAAGGAGGAAGGGGTGGCAGTTCTGCCCAAATTATTTCAGATTCTGGGCCTGGCCAGAGCAGCCTGACACTGCCGCAGGCTCCATGGGCACCACACACTGTTTTGTTTCACTAGATGACTCAGAATCAAAATCCTTTCTCTTAGAGGGGAAAAAAAAAAGATGAAAAAAAAATAAACCAACGATCCATGAGCAGGTGCAGAGTGAATTGTGCTCCCTCTGAGGACGCTGGTATCGATTCTCCACAAATGAAGCCGGCCGAGCCCCTGGGGGCGCTGCTGTGAGCAGCTCTGCGTGTGTCTCGGCTAATGCGAAAAGGGAAAAGACTTCAAAATGGTGCTGTTTTTTCCATTTCCAGGCTCCTTCCGGGCTGTGGCTCCATCCATCATCCCAGGGAGGTATTCGCAGGCCCGGGGATGAAATCTGGATTTAGGGCATGGGCCTGGGTTTGGGGGTTCAGTATGTGCTGTGACTTCCGGGCTCCAGTCTGGGAGTCCAGACACAAGGCCCCGGCAGAGGCATGGGCAGGGACTCCAGGGCTGCGCATGGGAGAAGCAGGGGCACCCAGTGGCTGCTGGAAACAAGCCCACATCTCAGAGGCTGTCCCTGCCACCTTCCTCGCCTTCCCCCGCAGGCTGCCTGGCACCCCACAGGCTGTCTCAGCGTGTGACTTCATCTGATTTTTCATGAATAGAATTCTGAGTGTGTGGGGAGAGCTAGCACTGGCAGGGCAAGAAACTTGGGGTGCCACAGCCCCCCAGGATGCTCAGCCTGGGCCAGCCCATCAGCTGTTCCGAAACCAGCCAAGCCCTCTCCCCAGACCTCAGCCTCCCTGTGGCCTCAGTCTCCCCTACCAGCCAAGACACTCCTCTGGGTACCCGGCTGCGTTGGCCCCCAACTCCATCTGCTGAGTGAATGATTTCTGATCCAGAAGAGGAGCATCAAGAGCACCCAGAGCAAAGCCCCTCTCCTCTCCCATGGGGCCGTCTTGCTTCCAGCCGCCTCCCGCACCCCCTCCACACACAAAGGAAGTCAGGGACGCTTGACACTCACGAAGGAGATACTCGGAGCTGTCGTGGTCGTAATCATTGTCCTCTGGGAAGTGATTGATCCGGAAGCAGTGCCCTTTATAGATCCCTGGAGGGAGCAAGAGGAAAGAGTCCCGTCACTGTCCCATGGGCCCAGGCAGCGTCTGTTCATTCATTCGGGACCTGCTGACTGCGCATGCATGGGCGGGGGGGGGGGGGGGGCCCTGCCAGGTCTGAGGGGCAGGGGGAGGGGGGGAGATGGCCCTGGTCTGCTGGAGGGAGCGCTCGCACAGACAGGGGCCCCGTGAGAGGAGCACCCCAAAGGCCACACCATCTATCGCTATGCACGGTCAAGAGGCGTCAAGCAGGACCATCCTGGACAAGCAGGGGCTGTGGGCCCCCTACCCAACAGGCTGCTGGGAAGGCGGAGGGGCCTTCTAGGCAGAGGAGGAAGCTGAGAAAGGGCAGGGCTGGGTGGGAGGCTGGCAAGTTTGGGGAGCAGTGGGGAGTTTGGTGTGGATGGAGCTCGGCAGAACCTGGGCGGCAGAGGCTGGGGGTGGGTGGGGACGGCGGGGCCGTGGGCCAGACGTGTCGGGATGAAATCTGCCATCTTCACTGTCCTTGCTCCCTCCAACTCACAGCCATGTCGGAGCCTTCTTAAGACACACGCTGGCTCTGCACACAGTTACGCACAGGATTCCACCCCCCTCATTCAGTGGGATAAAGGAAAAGAGTATACAACAAGTGAAACTTCCAGAAAGGCCAGGACGCAGCTCCTGCCTGGCTTCCCTGCCCGCTCTGAGAAGTTAGGACGAGCAGAAGGCAGGACCCTCTGTGCAGTCATCACAACTCGCCTCCAAGGCCCCTGGCTGGAACTGTGGCCAACTGGGGCCACCCCTTGTCCTGCAAATGTCCTGCTGGCTCCCCACAGCCCAGCCTGACACCCTGGTCAGAACCACAGTGTGGGGAGCAGCGCCTGGGTTGGACCAGCCTCCTCTCGGTCGTCCAGGTGGGGAGGTCTCAGACAAGATCAGGGCACACTGCCCTTTCTCTGGAGGCTACGAAGCTTTCTCCTCCGTGGGGCTCCTTAGCTGTCCTGCCAAAGAACTGGGGTACTTGGTAAGGACCCCTCTTCTTCCCAACCTTGACAGCCTGGTGGGTGGGCTGAGCTTGGGAGGGGTGGAAGGAGATAGAGGGGGTGTCTCAGGGAGTCTTGGAGGGGGATACTTCCACAGTGTCCTCGTGCGGGCCGAGCTCCTCAATCTCCTCACCTGCAGAATGGGGGTCCCACAGGCCTTATCTCCCAGGGATGGGTCCCTGCTCATGGACCCAGAGATCACCCCCCCTCCACTCCAGGGGTCCCTGCTCTTTCCTGAGTAGCTGGGAGGCGGTGGGGAACCACAAATGCTGTGAGGACATCGTGCCAGAACGGGGTGGGGGGGGGCGGGGGACAGTCCCCCTGCCCCCTCACTCCAGGCTCCCACACCCCAGATTCAGAATGCTCTTGGCGATCCAGAACAAGTATTTTTCCAGACATGGGTGGGCGAGGCAGAGTTCTCTGCCATTTGCTTTTGTTCTTTTACGGGTCTAAACACAGTCGCCCAGTCACACATGCTTGTTGGAACAAGTCAAACATTAAGAGGTTGAAGAAGGAAAAATAAAGACCATCTCTCCAGACTCACTTTCCAGAGGTCAACAGTTTGCTGTGAATCTTCCTGCACCTTCCTCTGTGGGTACCCCGACCCCAGCATGAGCGGCCCCCCATTTTTTTAAACTAAACTTTTAGGGCGCGAACTGTAGGTCTGCATGCCGCTATGTGAAATCACAGAGTGACGCCTGACCCTTCGCCCAGGGGCCCCAAGGGTAATGTCTCACAACACTAGAGAATGTCACAAGCAGGATGCTGCCTCTTGAGTCAGGATGAGGCTCCCCCAGCTCAGGAGCCCCCTTTCGAGCTACATCCACCGCCCTCCTGCACCCGGCCCCCCTCTGACCCACGGCAACCACGGAGATGCTCTCTGTTGGTATATTTTTGTGATCTTAAGAACATTCTATACATGGATCATACAGACTTGCCCTTGTGGGATTGGTTTATTTCACTCAGCATCAATCTCCCGATTCGTGCAGGTCGTTGTAGGTTTCAATAGTGGGTTCTTTTTTTATTTCAGAGCAGTATTCCAGATCATGACCTGCGGATGGTCTGCAGTATGACACCTGTGGTTTCTAGCTATTTCTAGTAATGCTGCTATGAACATTGAGGTACAGGTTTTTGGAGAACCTGAATTTTCATTTCTTGGGGATAAATGCCCAGGAGTACAATTGTTGGGTCATCTGACACCGAATGTTTAGTTTTATAAGGGCCTGCCGAACTTTTAGGATGGCTAGATTCCTATTTTTTAAATGGAATTACGCAAGACACTTTATCCTGGGGACTTTTTTATGTAACAATATGTACAAACATCTCTCCAGGTCAATCCCTAGCAATTTAATTAAAAAAAAAACCCTTTTGTTTATTTTTAATACCAAATAATAACCTTATACTAATCCAGAAGTTATTGAACAACCTAGAAGGAAACAACACAGGGGCTAGAGGAGTAACGCTTGCTCCAGTACTGAGAGCACAGAAGAAAAACAGGCTTTGGCAGAAATGAAAAAACGGACATTTGTCAATTCCATCGGAAAATAGAACTCAGGTCTTGAAACATTAGCCTGCAGGCAGGAAAGTTTGCTCCAAACGTCCCTCTGATAGATTTTGCAAACCTCCACTCTGTAATTAGGGTGCTATTTTATATTTGATAGAAACTGTAAATAAAAATCACACCGCATGACGTCTTAATTTTTTACACATGCTTTTTAGTGGGTGCATAACTGCCCATTATTTGGTTGCATGAGCCTGAGGATTGACGACTGGATGAAGGACATTTAAGTCCCTCTCACGCAGCAACACACCTGCATCTGTTTCCTAGGGCCGTCCTGTAAAATTGTCACCAACCACATGGCTCAGAACAGCAGAGACTTACTGTCCTACAACTCTAAAGGCAGAGGTCAATCGATTGGAATCAATCAATTCCAATTGATTATGGAATTATCAATTCCACTCTGGCATAGAAATGGATTTTCCTTTCTTGGCTCTCCCCAACCCCCGACAAGGAATTATGCTCCCAGATACATTGAATTCCTGCACTCTGCTTCAGCAATTGGGCTCCTCTTTTCTCTTCTCTCTCCTTCCCTGCCCCCCACCTCCCCTCCCTATCACCCCCTGCCTTTCCCTCCTTTCTAGCCTTTCTTCCAAGGACTGAAGGAATGGGCGATGTTGTAGGTTGAATTATGCCCCCAAAGATATGCTGAAGTCCTAACCCCCAGTACCTGTGAATGTGACCTTATTTGGAAATAGGGTTGTGAAGATGTCAACAAGATGAGGTCACACGGGATTAGGGTGGGCCTTAAATTCAATGATCGATGTCCTTATAAGGGCAGGGAAATGTGGACATGGACACAAGGGCAGGGCTGAGGCCTCGGGAAGTCAGGGAGAGACCGCAGTGAGGAGCTGCCGAGGATTGCCAGCAAACCCCAAGCCAGGGTGGGGCAAGAAAGTGTTTACCCAGACAGGGCCTGGCTCTTGTGACACCTTGATTTTGGACTTTTGCCTCTAGAATTGTAGGACAATAAGCCTTGGCTGTTCTGAGTCACACGGTTGGTGACAATTTTATAGGCCAGCCCTGGGAAACAGGCGCAGGTGTTTTCTGTGTGAGAAGAACTTGAACGTCCTGCATCCAGTCTTCATTGAGTCCAGGCTTGCAGGAAGGTAAATATGCGTCAGGTATTCCTGCTCCTGTCTCAGCTACCTGCATCCATCATGGTGTCGTGCTTTCTGGGCGTGACTTGTTGACGCTGCTGTGAGATTATCAGGCCGCCCAAAGGCTCAGGGTTCCAAAGCCACTTCCCCCGTCACCTGCTGCAGGCCCCTCAGAGGCCCAGATTCTCTCCCTGGTATCACCTGTTTAGGCACCTTGCTTGCTCCCAAGACATTCCATTTTCAAAGAGCTTTACCCCGAAGTCCCTGAAAGATCACCCACAGAGCTGACTTATAGTCCCTGGGAATGAAAGAATCTCCTATGCCATTCACTCTCCTACTGAAGGTAGACTTGTGTCTAGTGACGGATGCATGAGTGACTTTTCCAGCTGTCCAGGACCCAGAGGGGAAGAGGCGGCCTAGAGCCTGCCCAAGCTTGGGCCCAGACTCGGTCTCTCACCTGACCTTATCAGGCAGGAAGCTTGACTCCATCCCAGCAGCCTTACCCCACCCCAGGCTAAAGAAAGACCAGACTGTGGAGAAGGACAGGGTTGTCTTTGTCACAAGAATTGTGGGATTTCCCAGAAACGAATGTCCTTTCCAGGTCTAACACGGTCAGTTCCCTCAGTGATTTCTTTATTGAATGTTCCACAAGGCTTCTCCAGTCCGGCTTCCTTCCCAGGCAGCTCCCACTTTTTGGTTTCCAGCAGCACAGCATCTACCACCAAACCCAACATTCGAGGCTGTTCTGACCAGCAGGCCCAGCGGCCCTGCTCCCTCCTCTTCTCTGGAAGCCCTGCTTCTGTTAATAGGACCTTGGGTTCTTGTTGACTCAGTCTCCTTGGATTTTTTTCACAAGAGCTGCCTCACCCTGCAATCTGTTTTTGTTGAGTAGAGCGTTGAGCCAAAGGGCTTCACATTCATCTCTGTCAAATTTAATTTTGTTAGCAGTGGCCTAAGGCATTTAATAGGGAGAAAATTAATGGTTGATATGAGAAGTAAGAGAGAAAGTCATTTCCAGTCCACTTCACACGTGTTCTAGGTGCTGTGATAAACGGTTGTTTGCTGTGTTATCTATTAAGCAATATTTGGGGTCATTAATTTTAAGTTCCCTGGCTGGCCACACGGCAGGAATATTGAGGTGCTCCTGGGGTCACTGGCCTTCTCCCCCCCAAAGACAGGGTAACCCTCTCCTTCCTGAGTCTGGAATCCTCTGGCGTGAGGAGGCTCTGATAGTCTCACTGCTGCAGGAGAGTTACTTTCTCATCTAGAAAACCTCAGAACTGGGCCACAGGGAGCCACTCCTGAGCTGAGAT